CTGCAACTTGGTTGCCTTCTCTGTAAACATGAGTTATCTGTACTTCATCAAATAGACTGAGAAAAGATCTGCAAGAATCAAATAAGGGGAGATGAACCCTGCAAGAATGTTGATTATTCAAGCTGTTCACTGCAAAAATGGAATCAGATTCAAGAATAATCCTCCTAAATCCTCTTTCAAGAGCTAGTTCAAGGCCTTGTTTAATTCCCTAGAATTCTGCATTTGTATTGGTACCTATGCCTAGATTAAGAGCATATCCCACAATCCAAGGACTGAGTCACCACGTAGAACACCCCCAGTGCCGGATGGTCTAGGATTTCCAAGCGCCGAACCATCTGTATTGATCTTGATGAAATTCATGGGTGGTTTTGTCTAGTAGATCGCAATGAAATCACTAGAGATCCTTTTGACAGTGTGATTCCTAGAGCTCCAAAACTCAGCTGAAAGACTTAATTATTTATGCCGAATAGATCCAATATGAGATGTATTTCTAAAACAAAGTTGGTTACGATCAAGCCATATATGCCAGAGAAGGAAGCAGAAAACCAATGACCAAGAGTGTTGGGCCAGAAAAAAAAGAGTTTCGAAGAACAGTTGATCTTGATCCACTCAAGGAGTGAGAGTGAAAAAGAAGATCGGAGAGTACCGGGAAAATGGGTAGATTGCCAAAAGGAAAGGATGAAGGGACAGTCGCGAAGAGCGTGTATTGGGGTTTCAAGGGATGAGCATCTTGGGCAAGTATTAGGAATTTGAAGGCCTCTAGTAGCAAAGGTAGCTCTTGTTGGAATTGAGTTGTGGGCAAGAAGCCAAATGAAGAAAGAGATCTTGGGAAGTGTTTTAACCTTCCAAGCCAATCCCAGTTGGAATTAGGCTCAGTATTAGCGATCATGGAATAGGCAAAGCTTAAGGAAAAGCTTCCATTAGGGGTGAGTTTCCAATGAAAGGTGTCTGAGGTATTTTGGCTAGATAGTAAAAGGGTGGTTTGGATGGTTCTGTCAAGTAATGGAGGGAGCTGGACGTGCAGCTCACCGAAGGAGGTGAGGAAGGAGTAGCATCAGCAACCAAGAGGAAATAATCTTGCAGTGAGTGGGGTCCATGAATGGCTGTACTGAGTGGCCCTGATGGCAAGCAGTCATCAAAAAGAAAATTGATTGACTTACCATCATTGGGGGTCCATCGAATCCCTTGACTAAAAAAATGCCAGCACTTGATCATTGATATCCAAATGTGAGAGGACTTGGCAGAGGGGGAAGGTCCATAACGAGCTCATAAAAGATCAGACCAAGGTGCTGAGTGTGAGGTCCTAAATCTCCAAACAAGCTTAGTCATATATGCAATGTTTAAGTCCCGACATCATCGAAGACCCAAACCTCCCTCTATTTTTTTTTTTACAAACAGTTTTCCAGCTAACAAGATGCATTTTGCACTTGGAAGGGTCATTTTGCCATAGGAAATCACGGGAGAGTTTGTCAAGAGCTTTGGAGGTACTAATTGGGAGGAGGCAACATTGCATGATGTGAGATAGAAGGGCAGAAAGAGTTAAGTTAATGAGGGTGATATGGCCTGCAGGAGTGAGGAATTTAGCCTTCCACCCAGCCAATTTCCTCTTAGCTTAGTCAAGGATAAAGTTAAAGTCATTCTTGGATGGAGGCTTAGAAATAATAGGAAAACCAAAGAAATTGACAGAAGAAGACAACATAACTAACCTCTTCAGGGATGTCCTTTGTTAACTGCTCCAATACCATTCCCAAAACTCTTAGGGTCCCATAAACTCTTTTCCTCTTAACAGTTTTCCGCTCCAACCTAGATTTTCAAAACAAAAATGCAATCAACAGATAAACAATACAGAGAAAATAACTATGTATCCAGTGGATCTAGTAAATCATCACCAATCTATTCATGTGTGTGTTAAGAGTGGTGGAGAGGGGAGCAAAAACTTTTCATGTTAAACTGTTAACAGAACTTTGAAGAAACCCCCCAAATTCTATTTTAAATATTAGATACTTACTCCCCAAGGCTACCACTAAAAACACCAGATTCCCTCACTTTCATTTCTTCTTCACGTAGATTGTCTACATTGTTCTTTTCTCTATAAGCCTTATAGAACTCTTGCAGGCCAGCAATATCCTGGCTTCTATCTATAACAACACCCTCTCTTGTGGCTAGCTTTTGCTGAAAATCAGTTCAAAAGGACAAGTAGAAAAAATTGAGATTAGAGAATGACATACAAGAACCACATCTCATGTCTGATGGATTTTAAAGAAATTAAATGTTGAAATTCAGAACAAACAGAATATTTAAAATATCCTCAAAATATATCAATACATGCAAACAAACATGTCAGCACACTACTAAATATATGATCATAAAGAAAATCACTTCAGATTCATTTCCTATGAGTTAAAAGAAGAGAAAATGAAGCAGCAGAAATAATGCGCTCTTTGCATTTGAACTTTAGGAAAGTAATCCGAATCCTAAAGGTTGCCATGGCATACAGCCAAATATAAGTCAAAATAGCATTCAAATGGAATGAACAGACTTCAGTATCAGTGCATAAACACAGTAAAATTTGCAAAATCATTCAAGGGAATTTTTCCTTCCCTATAAGATACCTTGATGATAGACATCAAACCATTCTTGAATTGTAAAACACCTCTTCCTTCGCTATTAGGATCCAGATTTTGTGCAAGAGAATAAGCATGCTCACATACTGCAAACAAATCAGCAGTTTCAAACCATTAACATCTTCCATTGAAGTACCACATAAAACCATCGATAACTGAAAGTATGTCAAGAGAATCTTACATATTCTGGAGACATTAGGATCTTCATCTTGAATCTCATCGGCAGCTCTTAGGATGTCATCTATATTCCTATTGTTGCCAAGAGAAGAAGGAACGTATCCAGCAATTCCACCAACAGGTTGACCAAATGCATCTACACCAATTCTCTCACTCCTTATGGCAGCACGTACCAACCGCTCCCAAAGCTCTTCTACTCTACAATTCAAGCTCCCGTGTCGTTATTCCTTAGCGTAAGATTTGAAACCACTAACTCAAAATTTTCTGTGCCATATCTAGCTGAA